CTTATATGGTGCTAAGCACTTATGGAAAAACGGAAAAACATCTGGCAACACCAGAAGCAGAAGCGTCGAGATCTGGCAAAATTGAAACAATTTTCGCGAAGGACCATGTGTATGGAGACGAGAAAAGAAAATTTACACACTGAAGTACTAATAGTTCACGAAAATAATAATTTTCGTGAACTATTAGTACTTAAGTATGTAAAAATTTATTACATTTCATGTTATACGAGGGTTTTACCCATTTCTCGAACCGTGTCAGAGTGAATCCGTGCTATAAAAGTACCGTGTTATACGGGGGATGGTACCAATTCTCGAACCGTGTTAGAGCGAATCCGTGCTATAGAAGTGCCGTGTTATACGGGGGTTACCTGTACATGGGAAGCGGCGCTTCTGCCGCTTACAAGGACGGCACGCCACTGCTACTGTAGTATTTTAGATGCGATTTTTTGTTTTCAACTACGTTTAGTCTTCATTGAGTACTTAGGTGTATTAAATTGATAACATTTCAGACATTATTATAAATGTTTTTATATATTTCGATATTTTAATCAAATGTTCGAACCGTTTTAAATTCGAATTTTTTATTGCACATTGGTTCGATTATAGAACGATTGTAAACGTTCCAGAAAATTGATCAGATTGAGAATAGTTCGTTTGATTTTGAGCAATTCTCATTATTTTCAGCGGTAGGTGTTATATAACAATTACTATGGTTGTTGAAATACTGAATATAAATGGGGTTTGCTTGCAAAACCTCCGCGGGCGAAGTCGCAGGTTTTGCAAGCAGTACCCTAATAAAAGCAAATTATTTATTGCGACATCGTCACAATGCTGGGCTGCAATTTTAAATCATATTTTTAATTTATATAATTTAAAATATATGCTCTCCACCTCAAATTAGTAGTGGCTTGCCTCTGTACATCATACTTTTCCGTTAGCAATAGAATCGTTCCGGTCATCTAACACCTTCCGGGAGAAAATTTTTGAATTGAAGTAACATTCTTTAGGTTTACATCGAAAGTTTATATATAGTTAACTAGGGACTTCTGCCCGCAAGCTTTCCATATCTTGTCTTGAAGTTCATTTATCTAACACCATTGTCGAGATTAAGGAAAGACGGACAGACAGCGACAGTAGGAATTTATATGTCTACATTTTTTTTTTTTTCAAATAGCAGCCCAATAATTTGTTAATTATTGTATAATAATTAGGTAGGAACACCAGTGGCCAAGTGTTTCCGTTCCCTGAACACTGGGAGTTCGATCGTGGATTCGCGCCTCGCCAGGACGCAGTGGAGTTTTCCGGGTTTTCTCCACATCTGTAACGCCTGAATACGGACCAGTTACCCTTAAAAAGACCTCCCAGAAGGTATTCCCCTAGCAGATCGCCCAAGTGTTGCATTACCATAACTTAATAATTAGGTATTGGACATATTGAGTTACAAAGAAATACAAGTGTTATGCTCAAATTATAATGTCTTTGGCAATTTTAGGTCTGCAGAAATGACACCTTTGACGTTTTTCGAATTTTGATAAAGAAATTGTTGTGATTAAAGGATGTGAAATTTTATGAAAAGTTATTCGACCTACTTCACATGTTTTACTTTCAATACCACCTACCCGTGATAATAAAAATGTAAAAAGAATTGCTTGAATAAAAGTAACATTGCTTTGTAAAAAGCTGGAAGTAGGTTTGAGAATTACTGAAATTTTAAAAAAGTAATAACGAAGATCGAAATAAACGTAAAGCATTGTAATATCTTTTTCAAAATGCCTTTTTTTTTTCTATACAGCAAGACGAATAATAGTCACAGCCTAAACTAAGTAACTTTTTATTCCACTGCCGAGCAGACATCGCCGACTTCGTTATACTCTGTTTCCAAACTTTAACTTCGTAACTCACTTTATAAAATTTGATTTCTACCGAAAACTTGTGAAAGCGAAGTTTCTGTTCATTATAATAATCTCCCTGTTTATATTTACACAGGACAAAGAACAATATCGAATCATTGTTTTAATACAAAATTTAAAAATATCTACACGTGTTTATCCTCAATTCGTAGCCGTGTTGTTTACATTTCACTAGCGCCATTACAAAATGTTGTGGCAGCCGTGGGTGAGAATTGTTAAACTCATACAATACAAAATTTCGATGCAACAATTTTTCCGGTTAGAAAATATTTAAGTTTAAATAAGTAGTTAAAACTAAATATTACATTATTACGTTTCACATTATACAGATAATCAAATTTTATAAACTACTTGTGTTATCATCTTTCATATAAACACACCGATGAAGAAATACAATTAAAACAATTTCCAAACAATCAATTAAAAAATTAATTAATTAAACTTTATATATTTTACAATAATATATATAATTTTTTAAATAAATAATTTCATAAATTCAAATTTAATATAATTAAATTTAAAAAAAAAATGAATGAAATGTGTAGAGTGTCGCTTCCATCGAAAGCGTTATCGTATGATATTCAACGTGGAAGTTTATACTTCAACTTGATTTTTAAAATGGGTGAGGATATTTAATTCGGATATTTTCGGTAGTTTAAGAAATTTCTTTATTTCGTTACTCATTTTGGAATTTTAATAATGATATTTATATTTGTGAGTTATAACCGGTATGACTGCTATAATTGCAGAATTACAGTTTGTCAGGCTGTTGTTTGAGCTATAAAAAAATATTCAAAATTCATTACATCTATAATAATACTAATAATAGAAAAAGGATCTTTTGTAAGGGTTGTCAATCATTTATATCCCTGTAGCTGGATTAAAGCAGAACTAAGACCAAAAAAGTTTTTGGATAATTTACTTTTATTTTATGTATATACATTGTATTTTACAATCACATCGAAAAAATAAGCATAATTGTACAATCCAGTAATAGAACAAAAAATTAAAAAGTGGAAAATCAATGTGAACATTTCCAGTCAATAAAAATACCTAGAAAATAGTAGAATGTTTTGTTAAAAAGCACAAGTAAAATATACAGGCCCATCAATAATTTAATTGTCATTTGTGCAAACTGTGCAATTGCATGGGGTTCAGAAGTAGTTACGGCTCCAGAACTTGTAGAGGCGTGACTGCTTAAGGCTGTATTAGTCAACAAAGAGTTGAGAGTCAGGGTTGATCGGCATTTGTATTATGTTAAGTATGCACGTTCTGGTTTATTAGTTATGACTTCTAATCTCGACTCATTGGTGACCGCAGCCATTAGTACATTATCGGCACTTAGATGTAAAAGTTTTTTTACATAAATCAGTTTTTTAAGTAAGAACAATTGTGAGGTTATAGAGGCAAAGGTGTTGAAATTTCATTTTGAGATATTCAATTTCATCATTACGATATTGCATATTCTGAAAACCACTAACTATGTTTTGAAGTTGCTTCAATTGTCTAAGCAAGAGCTAAGCAAAGCTTCTACCTTATTAAAAAAAACTAAAAAAAAATCTTTCACGATCAAAAGAAAAGTCTGATGAATTTTATAAGCAAGCCCTGAAAAATAGCTAAAATTGGAAGATTGCCAATAATGTTCCTGAAAAAAGATGTGGTGTTTTAAAGAATTATGTGAAGACCAGAGCATACCTTTTACAGAGAACAGATTGTGTTTTCTATGCTACTTTAGACATAATATCACAGCTTACAAGTTGACTTGAGTATTAGATATGATACTATTTTTCTTAACTAATGGTGATGAATTGTATGCAGCTGCAGAAAAACTTTTCACCAGATGTGATGATGATTTATTATCATTGTTTCCAATGAAACTGCTTGCATTCAGGTCTTGCTAAGAGAAAGACATTGTCCAAAGAATGACAGTGAAAGAATTAGTAGACCTACTTATGATTGAAAATCATGCACTTTTATCCTGTAACAGTTTGCCTGGTGTTGCATGGCTTTTCTATTATTTCTTACAATAACTGTCATTATAACTTCTGCTAAACATTCAGTTTCTAAACTAAAACTTATAAAGAATTATCTGAGGAGTTCAATGGCTATCAAAAATTCAGAAGTGAGGAAATTGGACTTGTCCAAGGCAGTGGATATATTTGATTTAAATAAGTACAGGAAAAAGTTTAGATGACTAGTGTCTCGCAAAGGGCCAACAATTCTGAGGATGGTGTGAAACCCCTCATTCAGAGCTTGAATATTACCTGTTGCTGTACAGTACATATCAGCTGGCATCCTGTTAAAAGAAAAGTACCAAGTGTATTTTGCTTCTGACAAAATATGACTGGCATTGAGCAATCACTGTGCATGGAGAAGAAATAATTTGTACAGAAAAATAATCAATATGGTATAACTATTTGACAATACCTAATACTTTGCTGTTATTGATGTGATGTAAAATTTTTCCACAGCAATTGTTTTGTTATGTAAAGAGTACAAAGTTCTGATCAAGCTGCAATTTGAAAAAAATGATAGACCTATAAATCCCACTGTCATCCATCTGTCTCTGTTCCTTAATCTTGAGATGGAGTTAGATAGATGAAAGATGAGACCAGATATGGAAACCTTGGGCAGGAGGCCCCAATTAACTACAGTATATATGAACCAGGACTGCGGAATCAATAAAAAAACACTCGACTCCAACTCCTGATAATTTTAGTAGGCTGACTCTGACTCCCGATTCCAGCAAAATTAAATACAAAGTCATTTGATGGGGGGCAGAAGCACTCATAGGGGGTTACCCTACTCTGAACTTTGAAAGGACCCTGGGACAAATACTTTTATAGTTAGTATTTTTAATATTTAACTTAATATTGTTATTTATTTGTATAAAAAAATTAATTTTTAACAAATATTTAATAAGAGAAAAAAGGGGGAGCGATAAAATTCTACATCTACACATCTTTATTCTACAGCTTTTGCACTTTAATTTCACCTTTCCAGAAAAGTTAATCCAACTAAAAAGTGTGTGACCTAGCTACTTCAGCCCCTTATTCAGAATAGAAAAGAAAATTACAGGTATACCTCGTCTGACGTCGGTAATTGGTTCCAGGAGAGGCAACGTAAGTCGAATTTACTTGTCTCTGAATCTACTTGTCACTAGGCTAAACTATAAATTACCATTCCCAGTTCTGTATTTTATTTATTAATGCATTTTTAATAGTATATGGTTAATAAAGATCTATTTTAAGCTTACAAACAAATAAATTTTAGTTTTTAATATAGTACAGAAAAAAGTAATCTAAATTTACAAATGCAGATACTATAAATACAGTACATGTAAATGTACTGTAAATGTATATACAGTATTTTAATATGATTTTATGTGCTTTAAACGTTTTTCTAGTGATATTACGACTTCAGTATTTGTGGAGGACAGATGTAAAGTCGAATAAAATGACTTAAACATGATTTTTATTTTTCCATATACTTTTTTGACAAACGACGTAAGTCAAGGTATACCTGTATGTACTTTGATCAATTAGTCTGGCTCATTCAAAAAAATAGAGTACTTATTTAGAGTGGGGATAATAAAGGAATGAATCAAAAATATTCAAATTCAATTGGGTCAAAATAATTTAAATATTAAATATAAATACTACAAAGAAAACTATTGATACATATTTAATAAATTAAATTGTTGCATTTTATATTTAAAATAAATTAATTATAACAAAATACAAAAACATTTTAAAAAATTATTAAATATAAAATAAATTTTCTTTCATTTAAATAAAAAAAAACTAAATTAACTAAATTAAATTTAAAATACTGGCGTTGGAGTTAACACATTTTTTCCAACTCCAACTCCTCTGGACAGAAATTCCTCCCAACTCCAACTCCACAGCCCTGATACGAACTTCCTATGCAAACCAGAAATCATGTTATTTCAATTCAAAAATTTTTCCCTGAAAGGTGCTAGATTTATGACTGGCACAACTCTATTATTAAAGGAAAAGTATGATGTACAGGAGCAAGCCACTACTAATTTGAGGTGGAGAGCATATACTAAATTAAATAAATTAAAAATATGATTAAAAATGCAGCTCAACATTGTGACAATGTCACAATAAATAATTGCTCATTGTATGTTAAGTTTCATACTGGTCTGATTTGTAATTTCTAAGAAATAGGACAAATTAATGGTTATGTTCATTTTTTGGACAGGATTGCATTTTACAAAAACTTATTTTCATACATTCTGATTTTTATTATAAGATATTAATTTTTGTTGCTTACACAGACATCTTTTTACCAACTGAATAAAAAGATGAAAAATTTGCCTAGTGTTTGAAAATTGTCACTGCATTGTGTCTGTGTAAGCAACAAAATATAAAACAAGGTTTCATTGGAATAAAAAAAAAATATATATATATATACACACAATAGTCTCAAAAACTCGGCACTTGATAACCTGGCAGTCCGGATAACTCGGCCACACCCTGGCAGGGCAAAAAAATCCTTAGTTAATTAATTTTCATTATAGACAGCTTTATGCCTCATAAAGTATTTTTCTGAGGTGTGTCTTATAAGGTAAATTACTGTACACGGTGTATTCATTAATTTTCATTTTCATGTAGTAAAGGCTCTATGCCTTCATAAAGGACATACTTTTCCTTTGTTTAAGAGTATTTGGGCAGTTTATTCTCTGTTGTATTCTCAAGTAAATAATACATACAAGTACAGTACAGTATTTTCTGAGGAAACACTCATACTTATTTTTTTTAACCCCATTCCCAATAACTCGGCATTTTCACAAACTCGGCCACCCTTCGGTCCACATTAGGCCGAGTTTTCGAGAGACTACTGTGTTAATTTTTATAAAGAATGGTGAAAAAGTGCTACAATAGATGTTTAATCTTCATTTTTTCACGTGGTATTGATATCTTCCGAAAGCTGTTACCATGGCGACAATATTAATTATATTTAAAAAAATGGTAAAAAGAAAGTCAAATTGGTCTTTATCTTATAATGTTTATAATGATCATAAAAGAAGGACATTATTATTACAATTATCAGTTTTATTGATGTCATATGGTAGCAACAACAAACTAATTTATTCAATGTTTTGTTTATTGGAAGATATAAGTTAAATTAATGAAAATGAAACTGAAGAAATACAGTAGAGCATCGATTATCCGACTCAATTGGGGACTGGGGTTGGTCGGATAACCGAAAAGTATGAAAAAATCCATTATTAGTGTAGTATATTATTATATCCCATGTAATTAGTATATTAGTATATCGCTATTAACCTACTTCCATTGAATTTTCCTCCATGTTAAGCCTATCAAATTTTTTAAAATAATAATCGTCGCTATTGTATCATTAAAAATTAGAAAATTAAACCTCATTTAAATACTGGCTCCCTTTCATGGTCGATCCAGTGTTACCAGCTAAAACACGTAAAAATAATATTAAAGTAGCCAAGACATAGCCAAATATTGTAGCGCCACATCACTAGC